ACTCCTACGACGGCGCAGCTAGATCCCAAACCGAGACAGTAGTTATCCGCTCTCCCGTGACTATTGCCTCGACAATATACAGTACATAATCCATCAGAATATCTAGTTGCTATGGAATCTACTTTCACTAAGCCAGAATTTGTTGCTGATTTAGTCATTCTTGCAGAATGAGCATGAGACTCAATCCAATCGAAATCGAGGTTAAAAAACGTTCTTTCATAAAATTTATATATCGAAGAAATTTAATAGGTAATATATTTGCGCTCTCCTATTTCCATGTTCATTGTAAGGTTTATATCTACAAGATTGTAGCTAAGAATAGTTATCAGTATTTGCCCCTCGGTTAATCAATGTACCTCAACATTTACTTACAAATCAACCAGAACTTTCTCACAATATATCCGGAAAATCTCATTGGGAACTTTAACTAAGGCAGCAGTTTTGAAATCTTCTCCAGATTTCCCTAGGACGTTGTCAATGTAATTTTCTAAATCGGGTGTCCACACTTCAGGGTTAATATCGCGTACAGAAGATAACTGATTGGCAAGGTCCATGCCAATTTCCAAAGTTAACTCCGAAATTGTCTTATTAAATGCACATATCACGTACATATCTTCAGAGTACCTGGAGGAATTTGTGGGGTAAGACACTATTAGAACGCCTCTCATTTGTTAAAATAGCAAGTAAGAAATAAAGAACTTACTGCTGAACTTCGTTTTCTCGTGGCCTTTTGTTTGGCGTATTCATCAGCGGACTCAAATCCCGGGGAGCTTGTGGTGGAGTCCTGGGTGGTTGAGATTCTACTGATTTTGAAGAAGTGCTGCTTACTCTCCCCACTGTCTCGGATTCCTCCTCTTCATCCACATCAACATAGGAAACATGCTTCTTTTTTCGGGGTGATCTGTGGATCGAAGATTCTTCCTAAAAAGCAACATACAGTTGACACTGTTTATACCGAACTGCCCGGCTGAAGAGTTTTTGTTCACTATAGCCAGAGTTTGCTATTACCAGAGATATCACGGGATCATAGTTATTGTAGTAAATCGCTCATTTATTCAACAATTATCCTTCAAAATAGTAGTGGAGGTCTGACTGCTTAAGACTTTTTTGAATAATTAATCCGATTCGTCTATTTAATCTCAGAATTTTTACTTCTTCATCGATCTCACAAAATTCAGGTGGTTGTTGATATAAGAATGTTAAGACTGTATTTATTAATTCCACTGCTGTTCTGTTACTTATAATCTCGACTTTTTCCATTGGATCGACTTCCTCTTCTTCAGCTTCTTCATTATTTTCTTCATCACTTCTACTATATCGTCATCTCCAAGATTTTCCCAGACATTTTCGTCCTCAATGTGTATGTATTCGGTGACTGGTATATTGTTATTGTTATTGTTATTTTTTGGTAACTGTTTAAGAAGTATCTCTAAATTTCTTTCATTATCCTCGTTGTTAGTCAATGGATTAATCATCAATCGGATTCGCTCTGGAGGAATACCAGTCTTCAGCCAACAATTTTGTATTGTTTGTGCTGATACATTGGACCATGCTTCCGCTGAGCGTCATATACCGTATAATCAGCGACTTTCCTTGTAATACCAGCTTGAAAATCATCATATGCCTTAATACGATTTCGAACAAAAAGTTTCTATATTTACATTTGAATGAATAAATAATCCCAGCATCACACGGCTGAAGAAACGTTGTAGTATTTGGTGGAAGTAATTTGACTTCTACGCAGTCTAACTTTTCTCTATCTTCTTCAAGAATAATATGTACTGGTGCATTATCGATAAGCAACAGAATTTTTCTACCTTGCTTTTTCATGTTTTTGTTAAGAATAAGAAAAATTTCATTAAAGATACTAACTTGCATCCAAGCTGTCCTGTTCCAGTAGTAATAAACTGGCAAGTTATCATAATTTAAATTTTTCATTGATCGAGGTCTTCGATATTGGTGAATGAAACTCAGTTTCATCTTCTCCGTTCCTAGCGAATTTACTGCACAGAAGAGTGTAACTCGAAATTTGTCTTTTTTGTGACCTGATAATTTCGTACGAGCAAGAACGCGAAAGGGCTTCATTTTCCAGAAAAGACCGGTTTCATCACCGTTCCAAATATCTTCGGGACTATAGGCGCTAAGGAGGGCTGCAAATAAAATCGCTCATTTTCTAATTGCTCAAAAAATGGTGCACTCGCTGCTTCGCCTTGCTTTCTAAATTGAGGAAGTCCAAGACAATGTTTAAAGCCTGTCAACCACCCTTCAGATGCATGGAAATTTATTAATTGACAATTTGGCTGCAAAATAGTTTGCTTTATCTTTTAAAATATTGCCCGTAATGTCTTGTTGGGCATTAAGCGCGTTATCCACCCAAAGACTAAGCGCTTGTTCAAGTTTTGGCCATTTAGGTCCGCAAATTTTCTTCAAATTATCTTGCTCTGCTGTAGCAGAGAGCCAGCGTATTTTTTCCCTTAAGATATCTGTCACCGTCGCTTTTCCAATGTTATATTTTCTCGCAAGCTCTACGTTGTTTAAACTTGGATTAGCTTCTTTTATTTCACAGAGTTTACGTTTTTTTTGCAACGGAAATATTGGTTCGTTTCCTGTTTGACATTGTTTTAATAGTTTGTAAACGGATGTACGAATTGACACTTCT